ATTATTGTCCTTATAATGCAGCTCAAATTTAAGTCTCAACTTTATCCTAAAGTATTAAAACATCAAACCCTAAGTTTGGGGCTGGAGAGATGACTCAGCAGTTATTAGCACTTGTTGCTCTTATAGAGGACCCAGGTTTGGCTCCCAGAACCCACATGGTGATTCACAACCTTAACTCCAGCTCTAGGAGATCCGATGCCCTTGTTTGACCTCCAAGGGCACTGTGCACACAGTGCACTGACATATATGGAAGAAAAACACTCATACACATAAAATGTATAAATCTAAAAAAAAAAGCCCTGAGCAAATAAACTTTCCATATTAAACAAACAGCAAAATTTGGATAATTGTGATTTCATGGGAGTCTCTTTTTAAGCTGGGCAGTGGTGACACACATCTTTAATCCCAGCACTTGGGAGGTGGACAGGCAGATCTCTGTGAATTTGAGGCAGCTACAGAGCAATTCCAGGGCAGCCAGGGCTACACACAGAAACTGTCTTGAAACCCCTATCCCCCCAAAATGGGAAACAGTAAAGATGTCTTTTATTTTTCTTTAACTTGTATTTACAATATTGAATGTTAAATGTCAGTTTTGGTGGGTCCTTGAGATGGCTCAATGTGTAAAAGGACACAAGCCTGATGATCCCAGTTTGGAAGGAGAGAGCCAACTCCTGAAAGTTGTCCTCTGACCTCCATATGTACCTCATGGCACCCACATCTCCACTCAAAAATAAAAACATAAAATTAATAAGACTGGATTAAAAAAAAAAACATTTCCTTGCCTATAGACAGTTTTCCTCCTAAATAAATGAGGTTTGTCACAAAGAATCTTGATTGTGTTTAGTGTTCTTTGTGACCAATCATTTTCTTTTCTTGACTTTCATGCATCTCCAGGTGAACTGATTTCTTAAAAAAAAAAAAAAAAAAAAAAAAAAAAAAAAAAAATCCCATACCTGTTAAATAGTCAAGACTGATTGACTGTGGAGATTTGGAATTTGTCAGATCCAGAGCCAAATTATCTCCCTTTATCTTTGGTGCCTTTATTAGCCACCTATTACACACCTGTGTGTGTGGCCTAATATCCAGTGATTATCAGGTAAAACCATCAGCCTTCAACAACTCAAAAGCTAAAAGTGTCATCAGACAGCATCTGAGGTCTATAGCAAGAGACTTTGCAGCTTCTATAGCATTTTCTCAGTCATGCACTGATCTATATTCTGTGCAATACTCAAGACCAACCTGCAGAAACCCTGGGTTCTTAACTTTGATTCTTCATGAAGGTAGACTCTAGTAAGGCTCAGTCCCTGCTTTCTGGTCCATAGGGTGAATCTCTTTGTAAAGTTTAAGCTGGGCAATGGGTAACTCCCCTATTTATTAGGAATCAGTTTCCTTCAATAGCTGAGGTCTGGGATTTTTGAAAACTGGGTTCATGTATTTTGTCTCCTTTCTTTTTTTTTCAGGGACAAGTGTAAATCTAATTACTTTTTGCTTTTGCATGATAAAAAAAAAAAAAAAAACCCTACACACTTAAATATGGAATAGTCAGTAAGAAACTTCCCTTGCTAGGATAGTTGATACCATAGATTACCGAGGAGTCTAAACTTCCCTATATATAGGAAGACAGTAGCTTTGGTCATTAGAACCAATGTCACATGTTAGCCTTTTGGGGAGACAAGTTAATGTCTTATGGTGTAGCTGTCACCTTTCAATCTTTAAAAAAAGTCTACAAATTATTTTTATTGTTTTGAGACAGGGTCTCACTATTTATCCCTGGCTGGCCTGGTCTAAATCAGGACATGTTTTCCGAGTGAATTTGTCTAGCTCAATGGCAGAGTACTTCCTTAGCTGTGGAAGGCTATGTTTAATTCCTAGCACTCAACCAGACCACCCTATAGACATTCCTACTACCATCACCACCATCACCACCAACACACACACACACACACACACACACTACATGTAATATATACTAATAATATATACACACATTAGCAATCTTTAGTAAACCCACAGATTACTAATGACTGTTAGGCAAGCTAAAATCTGTAACGTGGAATACCCAAAACCAAAAAGGTAGGAAAACTTACATAAGAAGATAAAAGCATCAGATACATTAATGTGTCCAGAGAGAAGACACTACTGTCAAGGAATAGAAACCACTATCCTCAAAACAACACTCCAGAATGTTCAGAAAACCAACATGGGGCAATCATCTTTCCTAAAGACTGAAACATGTGCTGGACAGATGGTTCAGTGGGTAAAGGTGCTTGCTGCCCAGCCTGATGACCTGTTTTATCCCCCAAAATCCAAAAGTTGTCCCTAGACTGTCACAGGCATGTCACGGAAGGAAATCATTAAAAAATAAGGCAAGAAAGTTTTCCCAGAAAAAGGTAGGATCCACTCCGAGTTCATCATGACTTCCACAAAAACATCTGTCTTAAAGGTATGTACATGGCAACATTTCATAACAACCTGCAAATTGCAAAGTATCAATGCCCTCAAAATTCCCAAGTGTTGTATAGTGATGTCCTCAGAGATAAAACATTCTACTTGCATGGAAGCTCAAGACACAGGATATTTGAAAGGGAGACAGACTCCTCCATCCTGCAGGAAGTTCCTTAAGTTCAGGAATTGAACAACTTTCAAAAGGATTCAGGAAATCCCTGAAACTGATTCACCACACTCCTACCTCAATAAGCACATCTAAGCAGTGAGGACTGCAAGTCAGTGTACTCCAGGTTTTATAAGCTGGCACCCATGCTGGGGTGAGTTCAGTCTATCTGTCATTTTCTGCCCCTGTAAAAAGCTCTTACCCATATTCCTGTAAATAACCCTAATAAAATCTTTGGGTCACCAAGTTGGACTCTATAATGTCTGTACTTCGGTCTGCTGTTGGTTCCCTATCTGGGATGAGTAGATGCTTGCTCATTTTCTTCCCAGGAACAGTCATTCAATATGGAAAGCCGGTTCCAACTTTATCTTCAGATAGGCCTAGCCTTTAACAGATGAGACATCTCTCCAGCCCAATACAACAGGAGCTAAACTGAGGAAGGACATGACAAGAACTTAGGATCAACAAGGCCTACCAATTCAGCTGGGACAGATAAGTAACCGATAGCAGATAATGACTCAAGTTCTTTGAGTTAGGAACATAACAGAAACTAAAGATAAGTATTGGCGAGGATATTATGACTCCTAGGGAAAGTTCTTCAGCAATCTTCAGCAATTACATGGCTCACCAATAATAATTTAACCAGTCACAATGTAACAATATGGCCACAGCAGAATTACAAACAGGAAGATAGGTGATGAGGAAGACACACAATAACCCGAAGGAATCCAAGACAGTACAGAGAAAACTGGGACAGCAAGAAGTAAGCACATAGAAAAATTTGAGAGTAATCACTTATGAGTTGAAACCAGGGAGGGAGGGAAGGAGGGGGAGAGAGAGAGAGAGAGAGAGAGAGAGAGAGAGAGAGAGAGAGAGAGAGAGAGAGAGGGGAGAGAGAGAGAGAGAGAGAGAGAGAGAGAGAGAGAGAATTACTTGCTGTTTTCAAGGTAAGCCCTGACAACCTAAGAAGGACCAACTCCCAAAAGTTGTCCTCTGACTTCCACATGTGTGCAGGCATGCATCCTCAGTGAACTGTGTGTCTAACCCAGGCTGTCCTGAAACTAAGAAGGAAGCCCTGAACTCATAGGCATCCACCTGCTCCTGCCTCTTGAGTGCTGGGGTTGTGGGTACCAACATGCTCAACCCAAAAGGAGTGGTTTCCAACACAAAGCAGAGATCCCTTTAGAAATAAGGACTCATACTGTCCCTTCTGCATGGAGTTCTACAGTGGTAGAGGCTAAGATGAATTCAAGATTTTGCTTTTAGCTGGGCATGGTGGCACACACCTTTCATCACAGCACTCAGGCATCAGATGCAAGTGCATCTCTGAATGTGAGGTCACCTGGCTACATAGCAAGTAGGACTTGGCCAGGAAGGACTACATAGAGACTTCGTCTTAACCGTCTCCTCCCCCCTCCTTTTTTCTGCAACCCACAGCCATGGCTGAGGGTAGAAGGCATTGCTGCTGGTGTGTAAGGATGCTAGTACTTCACCACATAAGCAGCTAATGACTGTGCTCATCCATGAAAGCTTACTGAATGGAGTTTGAATGCTAATGCTGCTAGCTTTCTGCTTGATTCCAATCCCGAGAAGAGAACCAAAATATGTCACGTTGGTGGAGGCAACGAATCAATTTTAAAGCTGACATGAAACTGACTCAAATGGAAAACTGTTGGTTGCAGCTGTGTGGCAAAGGAATATGACTAAAAAAATAGGCAAATAAACAAACAAATAAATAATCAATCTTAGGCCAAGGGGCTCAAAGAAGATTACAAATGTAAGAAGTGAACAAATAAGCAAAAAGAAATGAGTAAATGACCCCTTTCCTCTCGAAGGTTTCTGCTGTAACTCATCTCAGAACAAACCTCTTTCCAACACTGAATGAATGAATGATTCAGGCTGTTTTCCCAACCTGTGTTTATGTCAAACACTCACTTTGCATATCTTATCCTCCCTTGCTAATAATTAATGTGCTAACCAATGCCTAGACACTAACTACACTGTGGAGCCAGTAGAGTAGTCATAGATAGTGACCCTCAGGAGCCTCTGTATTACTTTAGTATCGGAAGACTGTCCTCAAATGCTGAGGGGCAAGGGTAATGAGTGCTCATTAGGCCATGAGACACCTTCACAGGTCAGGTTAATGGCACACTCCACAAAGGTTAATCGAGCAAAGTGCATGTGTCAAAGATAACACAGTTACTGGAGCTTCTCTGAGTTAGCATTCTCTTGGCTCAACTAGAAACTGGCTGGCACAGCACCTGAACTCTTATCAATAACTGCTATTTGAAAAGCACATGTCCAAGGGTGTCAGATTTTAAACTGCTGCCAAAGCAAACTACAGAATGAACACAGTTCTTATTTCCTTAAAAAGAAAACAACCCTCACATAAACAAACCACAAAACAACCAAATTTATTAAGTTTAACAGTTTCTCTGATACAAAGAGAAATATCAAAAGAAAACCTACAACATATGCACATGTAGCCTCCCCTCCAATCTACGATAACCTAAGAGAAAAAAAGGACACAGTTTTCTTCAACAGAGAACATTATCTTCGCTTTTGGAAGATGTTTCCACGCCCCATTCCACGTCCCCTTCCTCTTGCAGCCACTGAAAGGAAGAAGAGGAGAGGTCAGAGTGTTTCAAAAGGCTACCTGGACCAGCCTCACCCCAAATCACTACCTGTCACACAGTGATGGGAAGGAAAAGGAGTACAAGTTGGCATTGATGCCTGGTTGTCAGGGTGGTAGGTAGTGCTGTAGTCTGAGTATAACAGGAAAGACAAAGTCTCAGGGCTGGCCTGTGGCAAACTAACACGCCACTTAGATGCATTCAATTCACTTTGTATGGTGTAAGGGAAGGGGATGTACGCACACGTGTGTGCCCATGCGTTTGTACATAGAAGACGGGAAAAACCTCAACTATTTTTCCTCACATATCATCTATTACTTTGTTTCTTGAGACAAAGTCTATCATTGGTCTGGAGCTTGCTAAGTGGTCTAGACTGGTTGGCTAGGGTGCCCAGGAACCCATCTTGGTCTTGTCAGTGCTGGCATTACAAGCAGGTGCTACCATGAATGGACTGAACTCAGGTATTCAGACTGTATGGCAAGCTCTTTCTTTACCCACTGAACTATGCCACCCTGCCCTCAATTCACTTTTGAACCTCTCCAACACTTATACTGAGTGCTAGCACCTGCTAATTCTGGGTAAGGGGTTTGATTATTCTTTGGGCTTTTTGGGATAAAAGAAAATACTTAATAACAAAAAACAAAATAACACTACCCATAAAAAGGCACAAGTTGCTCACTGTGACCTCTGTGCCCAGGAACGTGGAGCAGTCCCGAGGGAGGAGTCTGATGGGAACTTATGCACCTGCTGACAGGGGCCAGAGCCAGGGGTTGGGAAAGGCACAGGTGGCTCTCAGGCAGCAGTCAGTGGCCTGTGGAAACTCACTGCCTGAAGTGCACAACAGTCTGACTGGCATATATGGGACAGCTAGTGTCACTATGACAGCAAGGGCAGCCCTCTTGGAGGCAAAGGGAAAGAAATTTCTCTCACATGTTTTTGTGTTTATTCAATCATGTCTGTGTGTACTGTGTGCGTGCAGAGGTCAGAGGACAACTTCTGGCAGGTTTACGTGACAAGCACCTTTACCACCAAGCCATTGCTGGTCCCAAGATTTTATCAGCTGTTTTAGAAGTATTAAAACAAAACAAAATAAACCAAATACTCTATCTTTAAACACAGAAGCTACCTCACATATAAAATATGCAATAAATAACATGGCAGAACTTTTCAGGGACCCAAATATAAACCACAATTGGGCTAGCTTCCAAGAGCAGCTAAGAAATTACTGGGGGACAGTGTGGTTACACTGCTGCTATGTCTCAAAGGAGGGATTTAAAACACAGGTGGCAAGATGGTTTGGCAAATAAAGGTGCTTGCTGCCAATCCTGATGATGTAAGTTCAATCCCCAGAACCCCATGGTGGAAGGGAAGAACGGATTCTGATAAGTTGGCCTTTCATCTCCTCGTGTTCCTTTCCCCACAAATAATCTAATTCACGCAACTTTAAAAATTAACAAAAAAGAGCCAGGTGGCTCTCTGTGTGTTCGAGGCTAGCCTGGTCTATAGGACAGCCAACCCTACATACATATCTTGAGTGATCCTGGAGGTGAGAAGTAGAGAGAAAATGGATGGTTAACTGAAGGGGCAACTGCAGTGAACAGCAAGGGCCGGCCATGGTCCTAAGTAACCCTAATAAGCTCACTGGTTGAAGACAGACTGGAGTGGAACTGTCTGGTTTGTTGTTCCCCTTTCTATGTTTGGTGAAGGGGTAGGGTGGGATCATGCACAGGTCTAGGGATGCTACTGTTCTGTTTCAGGGTCAACTCACACCCTCACCAGACAAGAGCAAGCTGTCTGCCCGCTTGCATAGAATTTCTAAGAAGGAAGGACCTTCACTATAGGAGACCATTTCACTTAAGATAGGGTTCTCTCTGCCTGCCTCTCCAGGATTTGTAGCTCAGGCTGGCTTCCTCTGCCTCAGCCTCTTGAGTGTTGTGGATTATAGGTGTGAGCAACCAACCTAGCTCAAGGAATCTGCATTTTTTTTTCCCCCTAAGGAGAGATTGGGAATTTCACTAAACTCCGTGATAGGATCAAGTAGGGCAAGACAGATTAACAGGGAAAAGCCCCCAATACCAAGGATCTCAAGCCTGGGGGTAGGTCAGGACAGGGTATAGCAACATGTGTGGAGAGCAGTGCAGTCAGATTCACCCCTGTCCCCATGCAACAATAGGGCCTTTCCCTAAAAGAAACAGGGTGGTGGTGGGGATTCTGAAACCAGCCCCCAAAGCACCTACCTTGGGCCTTCAGGATAGCAGCTTTCCCTCGGCCAGCTCCCGAGCCTTGATTCTTATTTTTCATACTCTTTAGCATGGGTGCATTTTTCAGCATGTCAGGCAAAATCAGAAATCGGATCTTGCTGCCACGTATGTATACCTGTTCCAGCTGTGCCACTCGGCCATCTCTGTAGGTGACTGTGATGTTGGACATCTGGAAGGGAACCACCAACTTATTTGTAGGGGTCATAGAACTGATGTACGCAAAGTCAGGGAGCCTTAACTGGAGTTAAGTTCAGAAATACAAAAGCCTGACACCAGCATAAGGGGCTAGAGAAATAGCTAGGTGGTTAAGAGCACTGGGTGTTCCTCCAGAGGACCTGGGTTCAATTCCCAGCATCCACACGGTAACTCACAACTGTTATTCCAGATGCAGGGGACCCATGGCACATAAATATACATGCAGGCAAAAATGCCATACACACAGAATAGAGTAAATCTAAAAAGAATAAAAAGTCAGAAAGCTGGAAACATCACAGCAATGGTTGGGAATTCCCCTGTGCATCAGAGAGTGTGCATTTCAACTAAATGCCAGAGGTCAGTATGAGCGTAACCACTTTTATAGATTACAGTCAAACGCAAACCAAGTCAAACAGCTGATATGCAGAGAAGCCAGGCTGAACCACTGAGCTCAGATGCCAAGCCCAGCTTGCACCGCCTCTTGGGAACCTGTGAGTGATGGGGACAGTCTTTCTAACTTCATGTCCAAACTGCAGCCTCTCATGGACCTGCTGGCACTCCAGCTGGAAAGGAACCTTCAAGGTCGTAAGGATGCACTGGATATAGTTCTAACTCTTAGTATACATTAGGAGGGCAGATGGCTGGGGATTGAGAGGTGAATGTGGCAGCGCCTATGCCCAGCACTTGCACAAGGAAAGGAAGCTGTGAACATGTAGGACTGAAGCAGCACATATCTGCACAGTACTGAGGAGATGTCACAGACTGGGAAAATCACTCAGGTTTGTGGATGGACAAATGGCTCACAGGGTTAGTAGGTGTAGGGTAAAGAGGAGGAGCTGCCCCTATGAATCCATGGGAACAGCAAAGTGACAAAATGTGCCTGCACCAAATTCAATAGGTCTTACTTTTATCACATTTGCTTAATTGCTGTACTCTGGGCAGAAGAGGACTATATCTTATCTAGGACGGGTGAAGCCTATGTTGCAAAGATGTGCCATCTCCCAGATTTTTTTCTTTTTAAAAAATTTCTCCATGTATATATTGTACATTGAACTTAGCTCCCTACCTGCTTCCCCTTTCCCCTTTCTTTTCTTGCCTCTTTTCCCAGCTGTTGATCCCCCTTATTCCCAAAACAACTTTACTTTTTTAATTTTCCATATACATACATGGTTTTATGTGATTACAAAATTTAGGACCTGCAAGTGAGAGAAAAACCTGTTTTTCTAAGACTGGTTCAATTTGCTTAGTGATCATCTTCAGCTGCATCATCTCCCAGACCTCTCCTCTACAAACATTGCTGTCTTCCTCCCTTGCTCGTTCTAAATGACCAGGTGGTCTCTACTTGAATACCAACAGTGAAAACCCAAACCAAAACCTATCAATACTCTTGAGGCTGACCCTACTTCACCTGAGCAACAGCAATGGTTTCTAGGATTTCAAATCACTGTTCCTGTTGGATGTTCAAGGGCAAGAAGGTCCTGTTTCCCACCAACCAGCTACAGGCTTCTTATTGCCATTTCCTTAAAATCTCACAGTTCCTAAGCCCTTGCCATAGTTCACTGGACAAGTACCAGAACCTCTGCTACCACAAATAAGTAGTTATGATTAGCATACCTTGTTACTCAAAACTGGATTCCACACACTTGTCAAGTCCTGACACACTTGTGACTCTGTAGAAGACACCAGAGTGCCCTGAGGATCTCCAGTGAGATCTAGCTTTGCCATCCTGCAGAGATGTAACCCTGAGCACATCTCCAGAATTTTCTTAGCTCCAGTTCCCTCCTTTCCCCACTAGAGGAAATACAACAAAAGCCACATTTCCTGAACATGGATATAGACAGCAAGCAGATGACGATGACCCCAGATGACTGACTTTATACCATGAAACTCTATAGGAGGCAGCACAACCTGTCAGAGGCAGATCTCTCTCTGGAGTTTCACCCCTATACTCATCCTATTCTTCTGCCCAAAGTCAAACTGCCCTCAAATGTCAACTACCTTCCTGGCACTGTTAAAAATCAAATTAAACAAGGCAAAGTATGTCTAAATGTTGTCTCAACTACCTAGGACATAACAAACCCAGTAATGTCTATCTAATCCGAGTTATGACGTCTATTTTAGGGATGTACTATTGTTGAGCCTAATCTCCCTCCCTACTCAGCATTTCCCCACTGTGCCTTGAGAATCTCCATGAGGCTGTCACACAGATCCAACAAGACTTAAACAAGGAGCTTCTACTAATGTCCTATGATGGGTTTTCAATGTCACTTGACAAGTATTTCAACACTGAAACAGTTACTACTCTAATGCATTTCTACCCTGCTATTAAACAAATGGTAGTATGGTCCCAAGAAGGGCCCTGCATATGCATCATGAAGCCAAAGGCACCTTTTAAACAATAGGTTTATCTTAATTACATTTAAGAATACTTAAAGATTTTATTCAAGTGTAGTGTGTGGGTGACTGCAGAAGCTAGGGGCAGTGGGATTAAGATCTCAAGTGCTAGTACCCCAACATGGTCCTCTGGAAAAGCAGCAAGTGTTCTTAACTGCTGAGTCATCTCTCCAGGCACAAGCACTTAGGTTTTACTGAAAGTCAGGCAGAAATAGAGCTTATGATTCCCCTAAACAGCCACAATAATTAACACAGACTAGATAGTCAACTGAAATGACATCTGAAAGCCAAGACGGAGGAAGTATGAGACGGTTGGGAAGTAATCCAGGAGTGTACAATATGGTATTTTGTTCATAGACTCTCATAGATCCTTTTTAAAGACAGTTCACAAAAGCTAGAATTTCTCTTCCCTCAGGTTGGTAGAGTTGTCTGTTCTCCCAGCTTTCATTTTAGAAACAGTAATGCCTGGGCTGGAGATAAGAGTTCAGAGGCAGATCTCTTGCCTACCATGTTCCTTTCCTAGTACTAAGGGAAACAAAAGTCCTGTCTACCTAATTAGCCTGTTAGCATGAGTTCATACTCTTGTTGTTGCTGTCTGGATTACATTTTTACATGGTTATCCATATTTTAATCCTGCCTATTCACTTAAATTTCAGAGAACTTCCAGATAACAAGTTCCTGGAGGATGGTGCATCATGAAGAAGCATGGAAACAGAGCCCTGCTAGGCCTTGCTTGACACATTTGTATCCTTTGTCCTACCTTCTACAAGAAACCTATAAATGCATTTCCCTGAAATCTCCCAGCCACTTAAACAAAGGCTGATCAACCTAAGGAGAGGAAGTAGGAACACAACTTATCCCCAGGCAGTCAGAAGCACAGTTTGGTTGAAACAAACTGGGGCTTTTAGCGGTATCTAAAGAGAGGACCGTCTTGAGAGCTAAGACCTCAGCGAGACCGATGAGTCAGAGCTGAGCTAAATGAGGGACCACCCAAGTGGTGAACTGTGCCAAAACTGACCATTTTTCTTATCATGCACGGAGACTTTCTCATACCCATTATCAAAGTGATCCTGTTTTGAGCACAGGGACACTGAGTGTCAGAGGTGGCTCTTCCATTTCTGTATAGCCAGGACTTCCATATGCTAACTGTACACACACACACACACACACACACACACACACGCTAACTGTACACACCCATGTTAGATATTCATTCAATGGCCACTGATGCTGTTACAGTATCAAGTGATTAGACCTATCTTTATTCTTAGGGAATACACACAAAAATGTCACAGGGTAAAGAAGCACAAAAACCACAACTCACTTGAAAACAGTTCATTCAGGCATAAACATGCTCCCCCCCCCCATCAAGATAAAGAGCTTATGTTATCTACAAAGCTTTAATCACACAGCCAGCAATGGTGCCATGATCCCAGTGACCGGGAAGAAAGATGATTCCAAGTTTCAGGCTGGCCTGGGCCACACAGTGAAACTCTTGCCTCAAAAACCACACATTGCACTGAGAAATCTCAAACTTCCCTGGTGTCAGTTTGCTTTCTTAACCTGACCCAATCCTGGATAAGTTTCTTATAGGCTATAATTTTGTAAGATAACAATTCCATGCAGACCATTTATCTATAGATGGGCTTGTCACAGCCAAGCAGACAAAACAAATAGTGCCCTCATGGTCCGCAAAGCACCATTTTAGAACTCATGTTTTCCTACTCAAATTTCTAAGAATTAATTTTACCTGTTGATGTATCATGAAATAGATCTGACTAGTATTCTCTGGCATTATAATAAACCAAATACATATTCATCATTTTCTTTCTTTTTAAAAAAAGATTTATTTATTATGTATACAGTGTCCTGCCTGCATGTATACTCACACACCAAAAGAGGGCACCACATCTCATTACAGATGGTTGTGAGTCACCACATTGATTGCTGGGAATTGAACTCAGGATCTCTGAAGAGCAGCCAGTGCTCTTAGCCTCTGAGCCATCTCTCTAGCCATAATTGTCTTTTTTGAAGGTTATTGTTTTTAAAACTAGAAAGAGTCTCATTATGATACCTAGAGTAGCCTCAAATGGTCCCCAAGCCTCTACATAAGCTGGTAGAGAACTTGCCTAGTACACTGAAACCTAGGTTTGATCCCAGCACCACATACAGCCAGCCATGAAGTATCTCCATAATTATGTCCCAATAACTATAGGACCCAGAAAAGCTGTTGCTGTATAAGATACTGATACTATTTTTTAAACAGATATAAGTAAATAAAATTTGGCTTTAGAAATTTTAGCTGCTGCCAACTTTTGGAAAAGTATCCCAGTTTAGTGTGTTAACAGCCACAAGGGTCTAGAAATGTTAAACCTAACTTTTCCATTTGTACAAACGTTAACATACTGTATTAACTACAAAGTTGATTATAGAAACTAATAAAATATTCTCTAAATAATGAAAAACAAAACAAAAATGGGCATGTAGCACATACCTGTAATCCCAGCGTAGAAGAGATGGTGTATGTTCAAAGAAGTTCAAAGTCTGCTATATTGTAAACTTAACTATAATTCATTTAGCTCTATTAACAGAAACACTGTTTCGTTTTTTTTCTTCAGTTTTCTTTATTAAAAACAACACTGAAAGGAACACACAACATAACCTTATCTATCATTTTGAACTGGAGGTAGAGTTACTGTATCAAAAGATTGACTGACAGACCAAGACACTTCCAGGAAAAACATGCAAACTGGCCAAGACCCTTTCAGCAGTTTTACTTACTAACTTTGTTTTCAGTGGTGGGTTATTAGTGCCATCTATAAGTGATAATCTGCACATTAGCAATAAGGTCATTACTTTTATATATAAAATGTCTACACTCACCTTTCCTTTAAATCACCCATTTTATGACTTATATTCACTTTTAATTGGGAAAGTAATAATGTGTCTTAGTTAGGGTTTCTATTGCTGTAAAGAGACACTATGACCATAGCAACTCTTACAAAGAGAAGCCAGTGCTCTTAACTGCTGAGCCACCTCTCCAGCCCCACAAGGAAAATATGTAATCAGGGTGGCTCACTTACAGTTTAAGAGGTTCAGCCCATTATTGTCATGGTGGGGAGCATGGCACATGCAGGTAGATATGGTACAGGAGAAGTAGCTGAGAGTCCTACAACTTGTAGACAACACAAAAATGATTGAGACACTGGGTGGTATCCTGAGCACAGGAAAGCCTGCCCCCACAGTGACACATTTCCTCCAATAAGACCATATTCACTCCCCAAAAAGTCACACCTCCAAGCAATGCTGTTCCCTACAAGATCATAGGGACCAATTATACTCAAACTGCAACAGTGGTAAAAACAACATACTTATATATCAGTAACATTCCATCTTAAAACAACAACAAAAAACTATACAATATCCTTGGTATTAGCATACTAGAATATGGTTTAGAATAGATCACAGTAAAACGTATGAAGCTGGTTATGATGGTACACACATAATTATAAAACCTCTGGGGGAGATGGAGATAGGAAAGTCAACACATTTAAGGACAGACTTGGGTTTGAAGAGATGACAAAAAAAAAAAAAAAAAAAAAAAAGCTGATAGATGACTCAGCACTTAACAGAGTTCAGGAGACCTTAAAGCTTTCAGGTTTAATTTTTCTCTCTCTTTTAAACAACTGCATTTCTTTGTGTATACACATGCACATATGTTTGCATGCTACAGGTATGTGTGTGGTAGTCAGAATCAGTTCTCTCCCTCTCCATACTTTCAAATGACACAAACATGGTACAAGCTATGTTAAAACAACCAAATTCTGGGTATGTGGCTCAGTGGTATAGTGCTTCCTTAGCAAGTGCCAAGGCTCTGAGGATCCCAAGAGGCAGATTTTTACAGTGATATTAGTAAAGACATCATTTAAAATGGGGGGATTTGTTTACTCATTTAATGTGCATGTATGCATGTGCACCACAAGTGTGCGGTGCCCTCAGAGGCAAGAAGAGGGCATCAGATCCCCTGTAACTGGAGTCACAGATGGTTGGAAGCCGCCATGTGGGTCCTGAGAGAAGCCAGTGCTCCCAACCTTTGATCCATCTCTCCAGCATCTAAGAACATCATTTAATAGCACCTCCTATATCTGAATACCAGAGAAACCTGTATCTCAGTATCTAAAAACTATTTCCTTTTGCCCGGCCTCACATCTGAATGTACCTTTATTAAAAGCACAGGAACTCAGGTTTATAGTCGAAGTACCAGCTGCCTGGTTTTCTAATCAAGCTCAGCTGCACCATGGCCCATTTCCTTACTTTGAAGTTACCATATATAAAGGGCGAGGAGTATAGCTGAGTACCAAGAACACCTGCTGGATATGATAACTAGCAAAAAAAAAAAAAAAAAAATCATTGCAAGAAGAACATCCTACTACATAATTTTTAAATACACACAGGTTAAAGAAGTCTATCTATGTAAATACATACAGAGAAATGTAACATGAATAAAAACCCAGAGAGAGATCGGGGTTCAAGCTCTTACCTCTACCTCAGACTGAAATGGGTGATCCTGTTTCCACGAATCCCCAGAGTATAACGTTCTCCCTGTCTGGAAACTAAATCTCACATGAAACCCTTTGCTTTTTCCTTTTATACCTCCCTAGTGCTGGCATCAAAGGTGTGAGCTCTGTTATTCTTTTTTGCTGATTCACTCTCATGTAGCCCAGGGTGGTCTTGGACTCACAGAAGATATATCTACCTCCACCACTGCTGCCTGGCCTCTATGGCTGTGGCTAACTTTACATTTTGATTCTCAGTGGCTTTATTAGATCATAAATAATGTATCACCACAGGGAAAGAAGTGGTTATGATGGAATCGTCTCAGATTCCAAATCTGTCAGGTTTTTTGTTGTTGTTGTTCTGAGACATGGTATCACAAAGTCCAGGCTTGCCTTGAATTTGTGGTGATTCCCCTCCCTCAGTTTTCCTGAGTGCTGGCTGGGATTGTAACTGTGTACTACCCTGCAGAAAATATTATGCAGAGAAAGTGTCTGGAGGATGCCCTCATTTCTAAAGAACCGAGGACCAGGAAGGAGACAGCAGGGGCACCTGCAGGAGCCATCACAATCCCAAAGATACATGAATGAAGTGTTCAGTGCTCACCCACTGCTGGGTTTGCTCTACATAACCTATTTATCTTTATGCAAAAATTAGGACACAATGAAGTCCTAATTCCCAGTATCTCAGTTTACATACTATACAAGTAAATCAAAATAAGAATTTGTTATCACTGGTTTTGGAGGGAACAGAGGGCAAGGGAGGCACAAAGCGTACATACAAGACACACTACTTTCCAAGTTGTAACCTGATAATATAGCAAGATCTTTGCATCACGTGGGCCGTACTTCTGAGAATACCATAATCTAGTCAAACAAATTCACATAGCAGTTGGGCTGTTTGAGGCCTGCCTCAGTAAGCTGTCTAAATAAAGCAGCATAATAAATACATTAATAGTCACTATCCAAAAATCTTTCATTCTGCTCCCAAAACTAAATGCCCTAAAACGGAGAAATATGTCTTTTTTGTTTTGTTTTTTGAGACAGAGTTTCTCTGTAAAATAGTTCTTCTGTCTTGGAACTCACTCTGTAGACCAGGCTGGCCTTGAACTCAGAGATCCACCTGCCTCTGCCTCCAAGTGTTGAGCCTTCAGCTTCCTTTCTTATCCCAGAAACAACTGCCTAGGAGCAGCATAGCCCGTCATAAGCTGTGCCCTTAAACATCAATCACTAATCAAGTAAATGCCCCACAGACTTGCCTATAGGGTAATCTGATGGAGGCATTTTCACAACTGAGGTTCCCTTTTCTAAGATGACTCTCAGTTGCGCCAAGATAACAAAACAACTAAGCAGCACAATAACAATAGTTTAAATGAGAAGTACCCTCCATAGTGGCAGGCATTTGCACACTTAACCCTCATTTGTTGCTGGGTTGGTTTTGGGATGAGATTAGGGGATGCAGCCTTACTGAAGGAAAAATGTCAGCGGTAGACTGTGTCCTCAAACTGTCAATCAAAATACCCCCTCTTCTGCAAGTTGCATTAGCAGGTATTTGATTACAGCAACAAAAATAGTAATTAACTATGTACTCCTGCTCTCTCACTGTTATCCTTCACGGCCACTTCCCCAATAAGTCTCTTGTGTATTTAATCATCTTGACAATTACAGCAGAGGATTCAAAATAACTCCATCCTTCTCTTTATAGAGAGAACAAGTGATTAAGACACTCAAGATCATTATTATGTTTTGACTCAAATTTCTGATTCCAAGCTCAAGTTCTTAATATAGAAAAAAAAAACCCACATGCCAAAACTTGGTAATTATATCAGATGAGACTTTCTGCAAGGAAAAAACCACACATAACATATGAGCTTTAGATTCTGCAAATTATAAACTATGCTGGAAAATGGACACTGGCTCTTGAATCTGACTCTTCTAAAGAAGCATCATTTCTTTAAAGACAGCAAATATAATTTCCTGCTTTAGACTCATGGCCTTGACCATCTACCTCAGCCTCTCAAGTGCCGGGATAATTTGATTATCAGGCTATCAAATGACTTTTCTGTCTCAAGGTTAAGTCTATACTGACATACAAACAATCTCAGAGACTCTAAGAGTGTCTGGCACATAAAAACATTTGGTAGGTAACTGAACCATCAAGACCCCCAAGCATCTTTTTATCTCCCAGGATAGAAACCACAGTTCCCTCACAGGTGCAAAGCAAGATACCTGGCAGTTCATGTTGTCCTCGGCTTCAATGAGCTTCCCTCTATATACCTCGCCAGTGTTGGTCTCACATGTCACGATGTGGCCCTCTGCTTCATGCAAGACTTTAATTGGCACACCGATAGACATCTTGGCAGGAGTCTTCCTGTGCTATAGTGAGAGAGATAACAGTTGTCTTTCAGAGCTCAAGGACTGGCATGCCACATGCTTTGCAAATATGTCAGAGCTGCATTTTCAGTGTAAGGAGTCTGACTCTTGGTTTGAAGGAACTACCATGACCATGACAAGTACACGCTGCATGTGAGCTGGGGAAGGATGGTGAACTGGACAGAAGAAACTAATGGGAATGATGAATGCCCCCGCCCAATCTATTCACAAACACATTTCCCTTTATAGTCACCAAAACAACTATCACATGGACCTCAAATGTAATCACTGCTTACATGAAATTATTCAAATAAAATATAAATTAAAAAGCCCCCCCCAGGCACACGAGTAATATCCCAAGCGCTTAGCGACTACATTTGGCTAAAGGCTACAGTATATTAAGCAGACACAGACCCAAACCCAGAGAAATCTAGGAGAGGAGGTTGTGCTTTCAACTCAGCTTTGACTCCTCACTAAAGGTGGGGATAAAGTATGAAGGCACTTACAACGTGACACACGCTACAAACAGGAAATGCTCACAGGACAACAATCAGGGTAAACGCTCGACTTAAGTCTTATTAAAAGATGGAGGCCACGCACAGGGCTTTAATAATTCTGACGAGCATTTCACCTATGTTCATGAGAAGAAGACTACAAGGATGCTAAACACAGACTCTTTTGGTACGGAACCAAGTCTTTTCAATTTAAGGAGTGTGGATTTTATGCTGAAAACGGTGGAGAAACACAGCAGGGTTACAGCCAAAGGCTCAATAGAAAAAAAAAAAAAATAGCAGCATAGACCTTCTGCAACAGAGCAACTTGCTAAAACTTCCGCAGCAGCGTGGAAAGCATGAGAGGACCAGTGCCGTAATAAGAGTGAAGGCAGGGATGCAAAGGACGTTGAAAATGATGATCCAGAGGGAAAGGCGGTAATTCGTAAGAAATGACTGCTTGCAAGCTTCGAAAATCGGTGACCCGGAAAGGCATAGAACGTCCAGACTAGGCGTAAATTAAGAACTAACTGTTCCAAGCGCTAGTGAGATGATGTTTGGGTCGGCCCGGGTTTCCTGCCTTCCATTAATGCCCCGCTGAGCTCCCTTCCTGCCCTCTAGGGAAGCCTCGGCCTCCTCTTACCGGTTCGCCGCCTCTCCTCACCAAGTAACTGTAGGCTCCTTTTCGGTTCTCGCACAAACGTTAGAAGGCGAAGGCGTGAGGCGAAAGAATGGCGGGCCCCGGGTACCCAGAATACCACGCGTTCCCAGAATGCCGCGCGCAGCGTTCCTCCTTTTCCTTTCCCCAGCGGCGAGAGCGCGCTTACGTATGTTTCCTCCTTACTCCGCCGGCTGGGAAACGAGGACTCTGGCACTATTGTTCCGGCACTGGAGCGAGCCCAAAAAGGAACATGGGAACCCACACTTACAAAGTACACCAGGGACGGATTGGGCGAGATCTAGGCTTGGGCCCAAAAAATGCTCTGGTTCTACAGGAAGTGAGGCTTGGACTAGGAATTTAAGCTTTGGATCTCGAATCCATCAGGTAAGCGGCGCACCGAGCATGGGAGACTATCATTTTTGATCGTATAGCTAAGACCTAGCGGGAGTCAGAAAAGGATTCCCTGGAGTTTCGATGAGGCATTGCGAGGGGACGGAGCTAACACCTGAGGCTGCAAAGGTGCAAGCCGAGCGGAGGGAGTTTGGGAGGAGCCAATGTCGCTATGGAAGGGCCTCGGGGGCGTGGCTCAGAGGGGCGGGGCTTCCGGAGAAAGGGCAGGCCCTGCGGGTCGCTCTTTATGGAAGAGGAGTGGGTGGGAGGAGGGGCGTGGCCCAGGGAAGGGGCGGGTTTCCAGGCCCCAGACCTGGAAGGGACGAGGCGTGGCTTGAGGTGGCCTAGTCCCCACCTACTCGTCTCTGAACCGCGGAGGCGGCGGCGGCGGCGGCGGCGGCGGCGGAGGAGGAGGAGGAATTCTACCCTCACTGGCTGCACTCGCTGCCCAGCAGAAGTCGCAGCTGCGATCAGCTCCAGGCCGGGGCCATGGGCGCCCTGCGCCACCCAGGTCATGAGGACGGAGGCAGAGGCAGCGGGGCAGCCGCTCGAGCCTGGTCAGTGCCTCTCAAAGGGCCTTGCCCTCACCGGGGAAACCGAGGGGGACTCCACCCTAGAGCTGGGCACGGTCTGGCCGTGCGACCTTGGGCAGTCTGCGGCCTCAGCCCAGACTGGAGCTTCTAGTGAACCTTAGCTAGGTGGATATTCCTTCTCATCGCCCGTCCTCCACTTCTGCTTGTTTTTGAGTCTCCCGGGGCTGGAAGCTCGGGGAGTTCTGAGAGCAGTCTAGTGCAAAAGTCCAAGAGGCAAAGGCACTGCCATCCCTAGAGATGAATAGTCCTGCTTGAACCCCGTTGTGTGATCCTGTTCCCAGGGGGAACTGTGGAAGGCCTGGGCCTGTGAAGAGGGGAAAGAACGGCCTGAGATCCCCCACCAAAGGGAAGGGTTTTTTCATCTGGCTTCCCAAACGCAGCGCTTTTGTCTTACTGCTGTTCTTTGGTTCCCTCCGCTGTGAGGAAACCCGAGCCCCTTTGCTTGCTCAAGAAGTGGGTAAAGACAGAAGTCTTAGTGGAGCTCTGCTTGAGTGAGGCACAAGAGTTGATATCTTAATAAACTGTTGTGGCGAGGTGCCATCTCATGGGAGGGTGTCAAAGGGTTTGGGATCTGAACCCTTTAGTGTCAGTTGGAGAGTAATACCACTTTCGGGCAGTGGTTCCTTCTGGTGGTAGCCTGGAGCAGGGCTTGGACCTATCCTGGGATTTATATTTTTACTCCTCCAGTTATCTAACTGTGAACTTTGACTAGACCATTGCCCTTTCTTAGCCTCAGCAGATAATGGCTCTCTTGTGCCGGGCTCTAAGACACAGTGGTAAAAGTGTTTATAGACTGTGTAGAATTAATTTTCATAAATCCCGGTGAAGTAGGCTACTGCTGTTTTTTTGTACTTTTTGAGGTGAGCAGGCTGAGGCTGAGAGGGATAAAGGGTCCAGGGAAAGTTGACTACCTTTCTCTAGGGAAAACCAGACAACTGAAGCCAGGTAACAACTAAGAAGACTCTAGGTCTCAGGTAGGGTCATGTCTTGGCTTCAGGCATCAATAGCAGCAGCAGTTTTGTGCTCTAAATGCTAAAGCTGTTATCTGGACAAATACCAAGGCCTTTCCTACACTTATCACCTACTTCCAGAAGATGTCTTGCCTGTGTCAAGATCAGGATAGACAAGTAGGGATGTTTACCACTGAGGCCTCAGGATCTAGGGGTTCTAAGGCTGAGTGAAAGAGGGATAAGGGAGGGAAAAGAGAAGGAAAGGGGGGAGAGGGAGGGAGAGCTGAGTTTTTTAGGACCCTGAAGAGCAACTGTCCTAGCCCACATTTTATTATGGCATAAGAGAAGGCCTGGCCCCAACTAATCAGAACCAGAGTGCAGGCCACAGAATGAAGAGGGAGGCTCCAACAGAGAGTTGTGATCTGGAAGCCTAGAACTAATGGGCACTGTAGTGACAAGGGGTCATGCTTTAAAACAAACCTATTCAACAGCATAGGTGAATGCTGGCTGTGGGTAAAGGCTGGGAAGAGGCAATGCAACCTTGATGTTGCTTGCCTATTTACTACAGAATTCTCAGGCTGACCAGGGAGAAAGCAGATCCCCCGTCTATGAGCATGTTGTGAGGGAGGAGAGGGAACGAGAGGAGCAGAGCATTTGGATGCCAGAGGTGAGAAAGTCATATTCCAGATCATTGGTTAGATAAAAACAAAATCTGGGTAGTAATCAGCCTGAGTAGATCAGAGCGGAAAAGGCCATTTACAGCCTCAGTGAGGGTTCTGGAAAGGCAAGACACCCATCTTGATAGTGCCCTGCCTTGCAGAGAGTTTTCCACACTAGTATATTGTGAGAGAATGGTGTAAGTCTCTGGAGACTGAGGTTTACATCACCTTGGTTTGCCCAAAGCCTATCACACAACTAACTCATCATTCCTTCAGTAAGTGTGACTTTTTTTTTTTTTTTTTTTTAAACTTGTAGCATTGGAGATTGAACCCTGATAGTGCTACACCTCCAGCCTCAAGTACAATGATGGTCACTACTAAGCATTAGATACTAGGCAAGAAACAGCAGACAAGACCAGCAAGTTCCCTGATGTCTTTGTCCATTTGCAGAGTGATTTATAAACAAAAGGAATTTATTTTCTCATAATTCTGGAGGCTGAGAATTCTAAGATCAGGGTGCTGATAAGTTCAGTACAAGATCCATTTGTTCCTTATAGCCAACTCTCTCTAGCCCACATGACAGGGAAAGAGGGAAGAAAGAGGAGAACTTGCACAACAGAATATCAGAAGGATAAAAAGAAAAATGCCTGTGACTGTTAGCTTGCTTTTTTCTCTTATTTCTTCTAAGAGTTCGTTTATAAAATTTTGTGTGGCTTGAGTGTTTTGTCTACATGCATGTCCATGCAGGCTCCCTCAGAGGCTAGAAGAGGATGTCAGAATCCCTTGAACTGGAGTTACAGACAGCTGTAAGCCATTGTGTATGTGCTTGGAACTGAACTGAGTCTGGGTCCTTTGCAAAAGCATCAAATACTTTTTAACTGCTGAGGCATCTCCAGCTTTTTAGTTTTGTCAGCCTGATATAATCTATAATCATGTGGGAAAGGAGCCTTAATAAGGGATTGTCTAGGTTAGATTGGCCTATTGGTCTGCCTGTGAGGGATTTTCTTAATGGGTTAATTGAACTGGGAAGCCTGGGGCTGAATGTGGGCAGCTCTGTTTCCCAGGCTGGGCCCCAGACTGACAAAAGGGGAGAAGAGGGCTCTGCAGAAGCACGCATGTATTCTTGCCATCTGTTCCTGATTTTGGATGTGGTATGACTAGCTATCTCCTACTACCATGACTTTCCAGACATGATGATGTAACCTGGAATTGTGAGCTAAGTTAAACCCTTTCTCCCTATGTTACTTTTGTAAAGGGGTTCACTGTAGCAGCTGGAAAGGAGACTAAGACACAATCTTAATTATTTTTCCTGACTCTATATAAGGCACAAGTTCAGAGGCCTCATGCTTCCCTAAAGACCCTACTTCTTATTTAAAGATCTGTTTGTTTTTATTTTGTGTGTATGAGTGTTTTGTTTGTGGGTTTATCTGTGTACCATGCTCCCAGAGGGCAGAAGAAGATGCTGGAGACCCCCTGGAAACTGAGTTATAGCTGGTTGTGAGCCACCATGTGGGTCCTCTGGAAGAGTAGCCACTACTCGTAATTGCTAAGCCATCTCTCCAGCCCCTGAAGACCCAACAACTTCTTACCACCACCACTGCGGGGTTTATGTTTCAATGTGAGTTTTGGTTGTGAGGGATGCAGGCTCAAGCCATCACTGCTCTTCAGGAAGCTCAAGGCTTAGTGAGGTGACAGCAGCTTTTTGTGTTACTTTTGCTAGGCACCGAATGGAACACACAGGATGCCAGGAAGGACCTCCTTTCTCACCAGTCAAGAGCAGAGTCAGGAAAAAGCAAACAAACAAACAAACCCAGAAACCCTGAAGAGATGTTTGAACCAGTGCCGAAATAATAAGAACAGTAGAGAAGAAAGAGGTCCAGACTGAGGGTGCCACAGGTGCAAAGATGGTTCCGGCACAGTTCAGACTGGTGGGTTCTTAGGACAAGCAGAGCAGGTGAAAGTTGAAGTGAGCCTGGTGAGCTGTGACATGCAGGCTATTTAGAAGGCTAGGGATGAGATGTGGCTCAGTTGGTATAGTGATTACCACCACATGAAACGAGGCATGGTGTTACATGCCTGTAATACTTTAGGAGGTAGAGGTAGAAGGCTCAGAAGTTCCAGTGTCACCTTTGCCTTTGTAAGACCCTGTTATCAAAAAAAAAAAAAAAAAAAAAAAAAAAAAAGTGTATGTAGTAGAGGCATTTATTATCTCATTTTTACATTGTGTGTGTGTGTGTTTGCACACACATGGGTGGAAGCCCAAGGCTGACATCAGGTGTATTCTTGACCATCTCCACCTTATTTATATGTTGAGGCAGGGTCTTTTACTCAACCTTGAGTTTGCTGTTTGTGCTGATCTGGCTAGCCAGTTTGCTCTGGGGTTTCCTGTCTGCTTGCTGGGATTACAGGTGTGGGTGTGTTCTGAACTCAGGTCCTCATGTTTGAGCTCTTTATCCACTGAGCCATCTGCCCATCCCAAGAACTTTAAAGATTAGAAACTGTAGATGAAATGCCTCTGGCTGTTTAGTGCAGGGACAGGTGATGGAATTGGTTTGGGGAAGGAGACAGGCAAGACTGAATTTACAAAACAGCAAAAGGTCAAGGGCCTTGGAAAGACTTAGTTTTAGAGGTGCCTGGGGTGATGGGAATGAAGGGCATGAAGCCTCAGCTTTGCCTAGGCCCAGCACAACAACTGATGGTTCACCTGATTCCCTACAAAAAAGCATTATGTGGCCTGTTTGCTATTACACTCTGCCTCCCACAGGCACACAGGGAGGTGAATGGCCAGGAACAGTCCCGAGTCCCTGTCTAACAGGCCACAGACAAGATTTACTTAAGGGCTGCATTCTATGACCTTAAGTGTGAACTCAGGCTTAAAGGATTACACTGGAGAAATGGGGACTGGCCTGCCTAGGGTTATAGAAAGTCCCAGAAAGCCTTTCAACTAATTAGTCTCTGAAGATGTGGGAGAGCAGGAGGTTTAAACTCAGATACCAGGTCTGAAGATGCTGGGACAAACTCTGGCTAGTGAATGGCCCTTCTGTTTAACACACGCAGAGGGAGTGTTGGGAAAAGGCTAGCCTGGAAGGTGGGCACCTAGGGTGACTTTGTACAGAGCTAGTCACCTGGCCCAGGGGAGAACCCAGAAATCCTCAGAGGGGATTGCAAGCAGACTGGGTTTCCATGTGTGGAATCAGGGAAGAGGTGACCAGTACAGAAGAGTCCCTCCTGGTCTTTAAACTTCGGGTCCCCTCCTCCTTCCCTCCCTCCCCCCTCTCCCTCTCCATCCTTCTCTCTCCCTTTCTCTCTCTTCCCCCCTCTTTCTCTCCCTCTCTCTCCCTTCCTCTCTCTTCCCCCCTCCTGGTCTTTAAACTATGGGTCTCCCTCCTTCTCTCCCTCCTCCCCCTCCCTCCCTCCCTCTCTCTCCCCTCTCCTATGGTGTGTGTGTGTGTGTGTGTGTGTGTGTGTGTGTGTGTGTGTGAGAGAGAGAGAGAGAGAGAGAGAAAGAGGAGTGCATGTAGGCCTCCTCATTCTATAACCCAGACTGCCTTATGCCCCCTCCTGTCTTAGCCTCCCAAGTCTTGGGATTGTAAGTCTGTGCCACCATACGCCGCTAGACTGAACTTTGTGCACATTCACGGGCTAAGCTTCTGCAGGCCACATGACAGCTTGTCCTCCCCTGGGGCCTCAGCCCATGCTGTTCTTCATCCGTGTTGTGTTCTCTGAGGCATACCATTGTTTTTCTAACCGAAGCTGCTGGTTATCTGCTTTGTATGTTTGTTTGGTCTTGCTACGCACTGGGACAAGATCTTGTTGTGTTAACTTGTCACTATACTGCAGTACCAGTATAGTGCCAGGCTCTTGGAAAATATTTTTCAACCTGGTGACGAACCGGACCAAAGTTCCCCTACTTTAGGAATAGCAAAACACAGTCCAGTGAGAGGGGGGTAGACAGCTCCTCCAGTCAGCCAATGGTACTGAAATGCCTAGGTGTGGCCTTTTCTGTTCTGCTTCACAGCCTAGAACAGACAGGCTGAGAGGTTTGCCCAGGTCAGTACTAACTAGAGTTTGGAGGAGCTACTTCTTAACTAGCATATGTGACATTTCCCTCTCCCTAGCCACAGTCTTCCCTTGTTGCTTGTCCTGGAACTTTAGAGCCAGGCAGACACCCTGGGATACAGCTGAGAGGGGCAGCACTTTAGAAGAGTTGAGGTCCAAGGGTGGGTGTTAGGGTGGGAAGCCAAAAGTGTCTAGGAAATTGTGTGCAAAGACTCCCCAGTTGTGAGGCGTTTTGGCAGATGCTGATGCTGCCTAGAGTGGGCCCTGGCCATGAATAAAAAAATTGAACATGCTGAGGCAGCAGCTAATACTGTCTTAAAGTAATATGGGGATCACCAACATACTGGAGAATTTGAATAGAGCTTACTGGCTGTGGCTAATGTTCAGGCATTGGGGAGCCCCCTGAGATCCTATAGGGTTTCAGAAGGCGCTATAATGTTGTTGCCAAAGGGGGTGGCCTCATGCCTCATGCTTGTTTCTTTGCAGGCGACTTTGTGCAGCTACCTGTGCCCATCATCCAGCAGCTATACCATTGGGACTGTGGCCTGGCCTGCTCTAGGATGGTGCTCCGGTGAGTGTCTGTACCTGCTGTGACTTGAAACAGGAAGTAACCTGGGTGGGATCGAGCATCTTCATGAGTTGGCTTTGTTTGAAACTTTAAGAGATCCAGCTTCTCTTTAGGCTCTGTCCTATTTTAAACATGAACAGAAGGTAGATCAGGCTGCCCAAGTGTTGACTCAGGTGATGCCTGGGAGCATGGAGTGATCAGGAAATTCCCAGGTGTTCAGGCTGGGTGCTTTGTGTCTCTTCCAGCCCTCTGGTATCAGGCTACCAGGATGCTACATCAGTATAAGAACTGAGATAGTCTGAGCCAAGAAGGAACATTCCTGTCACCTTGGACCAGAGTTTTTAGTTGGTTGTCTGGAGATCCAGATTGGTTCTCCTTTATCTACCTTATGTAGTGGAATTCTGGAAAAGACAGAGTTTAGCAACATGTTTAGTTCCTGAAATTTTGAAAACCACTTCTGTGATCCAGGGGCTTAGATAGGCAATCAATGGGGCAGAGGGAAAAGCAACTTCCCCAAGTTCACATTGTACATTAGTGATGCAAGAACCAAAATCCAGGCCCTTCACACTGGGGCCCAGACAGTGTCCCAAGCCTGAGCCCTAAAAGCCACCATGGTGGTTTCATGATAAAGGACAGAAACCTCTGAGAATCAGAAGTGCCAACAGTGGCTATGGCACTTATTGGAAGGTGACTTTGTCTAGCTCTGCCATAAGAATAAGCTAATCTCTGTGTCCTCTTGTCCTCAGGTACCTGGGCCAGCTCGATGATGGGGAGTTTGAAAATGCCCTGCAGGAGCTGCAGCTGACCAGGAGTATCTGGACCATTGACCTGGCCTACTTGATGCGACACTTTGGTGTGAGACACCGCTTCTGTACCCAGACTCTGGGTGTTGACAAGGGCTACAAGAACCAGGTGAGCAGCTACCCACTGGTTCTTCTGCACACACAAAACCTAGGTGTAGGCCACTCAGTTATCCCAGAAAAGGGAATGGTCAAAGCCCGGACACTTGAGTAAAGGTATACAGAGACCAGTGGCAGAGGCAGACAGACTACAGACTGGTGACCTTGCGGTCTAGGCTGTATGGAGCATGTGCACTTTGAGTCCAGGACTTCTGTGTCTTTCTTCACTGCAGTCAGGACAGGACAGGTCGAGGCTGTGGAATCATACTCTGATCTAACATGACTATCATTGGCTTGTTTACTTCATACTCTACTGAGTATGAATGATTCCACCATAAATGGCTATGCCAACACCAGTGTGTCCTGTCCCCTTGCAAAGCCAGAGCCAGTCTTACCTGTGCTTGAGGCGATCTTGGCCCAGGCACCAAGGCTTGGCAGGGTAGCCTCTGCTGGCCTTGTTGTCAAAGGGGCTGTCACATGGTGGCCAGCGGCAGTCAGCCTAATTCTTCTTTGAACCTTCCATGCCAGGTAAAGAAGGCTTCTAAATCTTAAGACAGAAAAAGGGAACCTGAGAACAGAATGTCTTTGGCCTGCCTCCTGGGGCTCTGGCCACGTGAGGTCTTAGCACCAAGCAGAGTATGTTCCGTAAATCATGCTTGGCTACTCTGGGCTGTGACTGAGCCATTCTGGCACGGATTGGAAGGGCAGCCTTGTCCTCCATACTCATTTGCAGGACTGTCAGAGACTGGCCTGCCTGACCAGTCCTCCTCGGGAGCTCGTCCACATCTTCTGCTTTCTCAACTTGATCATCCTTTTCATCCTCTGTGTGGCCCTATCCACTCTCTAGCCAGGGACAGACACAGCCTTCTTCCTGAGCATGCTGGGTAGAGCCACTTGCATGTCAGTAGGGCTCCCATACCCTCATGCTACTGATCTATAACATGCTCTTTGCTTCATCTAAATGGAGTGTGTGCATCCAGGATGGGTGACGACTCCAGCCTGCCCTTCTCGCTTCAGTCCTTCTATAGGAAGCACTTTGACACAGAGGAGACCCGTGTGAACCAGCTGTTTGCACAAGCCAAGGCCTGCAAGGTGCGAGTGGAGAAATGGTAAGCCTCCTCACTCAACTTTCCTGGGTCACAGTGACAAGCCAGGACATTGCCACTTGCAGGGAGCTCTCAGGGCAGGGGGCAGATAAGCCAAGCCCTTATGTATCGTAACACTGGGGATGCATGCAAATCGGGGGAGCATCAATTTGGAAGAGGGGACAAAGGGCCACTGGCTCTGACTGACCTCCTTCCTGGCCCACAGCACAGTGAGTGTGCAGGACATCCAAGCACACCTGGCCCAGGGCCACGTGGCCATCGTGTTGGTGAACTCCGGGGTACTGCATTGTGACCTGTGCTCCAGCCCTGTCAAGTACTGCTGCTTCACTCCCAGTGGACACCGCTGCTTCTGTCGTACCCCTGACTACCAGGGCCACTTCATTGTTCTGCGTGGCTACAACAGGGCTACTGGTTGTATCTTCTATAACAACCCAGCCTATGCTGACCGTGAGTGCTGGGGGCAGGTCTGCCAGGGTGGCTTGTGTTTATACAACTTCCTCCCTTTCGAGCTGGTGTGGCCCATGTCTGTCTCTCTCTCTCTCCAGAGCCTGTGTTCCTCCTGGAATTTTGTCATCAGGGCTTGCCCTTCTGTCATACAAGCAAACCTGCCACAAACCTGCTTTCCTGGTTTCCTGTTACCTCTCCTCACACACTACCAGCTTCACTCTACTGCTTAGGTCCCCCACCTTATATTCCACAGGCTGTCACCCCCACTCTGAGGCTTTCTGGGATAGCCAACACACAAGCTAGAAAGTCTGGCCAGACCTTGCCCTTGTAGATTGCCCGGTGTCCTCAGACCATGGTGTGGAGAAGGACTTCTCTGACCATCTTTGTATCTCGACACATATTTAACATACTTCTTCCCTTTGGGTTTCACCTTCTTTCTGGGCTCCACTTTCTCTGTCTGTTAAACTAGGGATGAGAGACTTGAGGGGAGAGGTGGCGGGGCAGGAAGAACACAGACCCTATCCAGGCCCCCGGGTATCGGCAGGGTGGGTGCTCACCCCACCCACTGGCCCGCCTCTGTCTTTCTCATACCTGGCAGGGATGTGCAGCACCAGTGTCAGTAACTTCGAGGAGGCCAGAACCAGCTATGGCACAGATGAGGACATCCTCTTTGTCTACCTGGACAGCTGACAGCAGGAGCCTGGCATGTCAGCTCCTGAGACCCTGTGTCCTACCTGAGCCAGACCCACTCAGGACACCCACACCTGGGGCTGCTGAGGCTGAGGTTCAGAACTGTAGTCTCAGCCTGCTTGACAGAGCCCTTCGGAACTCCGTGGCCGCTTTGTCCACCAATGTCATCAGGCCACTTACCCCAAACCCCTTCTAGTTGCTGGAGACAACCCAAGAGCATCTAAGGGGAGTATCTCTGAAGACCCTAAGTCTGACTCCAGAGGAAGACCTCACGTCTGACTTCAGCTACGCCCAAGGCTAAGGGAGAGGCAGGAACCCTGAGAGAGAAGTGTGTTTGGGGAAAGCACATCCAAATTCAGGCCTGTTGCTCTGGGCCACTCTAAGCCCCATCGTAGATGCTATCACTGCTCTCTCCTGCCTGCAGTGGACTCAGGTCTCTGGGACTGGTTAGGAGGCCTTGTTACCATGCAGCATAAGCATACCTCATGGCTACTCTGAGGCCCTCTGACCCCTGGGATGCTAACACCTTAGCTTCTAGGTACCCTCCTATAGAATGGAAAGCCTTTAGGAGTGGGCAGGGCTGAGTGGATGACAGCAGAGAGAGGTTCCAGGAAAAGGGTGCTGACAAGAGACTTCCCCAGAGAGCCTCCTGGGGAATATCCACGAGGCCTCCTGACACCAGCTTGACTCTCCACAGCTCTATCTGACCTCTGAGTTGGAGCCTTTTGAGGATGGGTGCTAGAGGGCCCGTGCACCTAAAACAGCAGGCAGCATCCCGGCCACCCTGGTGTTCATACCAGGGGCATTTGTACAGAATCCTGGGTCTCTTCAGTTCTGAAGAAAGGCAATGCCAGTGTCACATAGGCCAGCAGGTAGCATCAACTGAAGCTGGTTTCTTTGTCTTCTTTTTGCTCTTGGTAGCAAGAGTGTTGTTTTATTGAGACTTCAATTTCCACTGTGTGGGGAGTAAGACAATAATAGATACAGGTACTTTGAAACCACTAGTGCTTCTTTACATAGGGCGGATAGGCCAGTCCGAGTTCTTAAAAAGATGACTGCCCTGGCCTGACCAGCAGTCCGAGTGGTGAAGCTGCACCAAAGACACAAGTGAATGGGTCATTCCCAAAGAGACTAGGGAGCTCACTCCTCATGGTACCCCAACAGCCCCTCGCTGTCCCCTCACACCAGGGGCCTTGGTGTGTCAGTGTCAAGGCATGACATGGCAGTAGCTGCTTCCCCTACCACTAGCTGACCCCTCACGGCAGTTTGAGGGACAGAGGTGGTCTGTGTTTACAATGGCAGTCAGACCACTCAACCATATTAGCCCTCAATATGAGATGAAGCCTTGGATGGAAAGGAGGTGCTGTTGGCCAGGCAGCCACTCTGGGTTTCAGAGACTAGCACTGGTTTCTGGTCTCATTCCCATTGCCTTAATGTTGAGTAGCCCAGGGCTTCAAGGAACTCTGGCTCCAAGCTCAGGAGTACCACATAGCAGCTATGGGTATGGGTGTCCTCGAAGAGGTTCAGGCATTATTGTTGAGACTAGCTGATAGGAGGAAGTAAAGCCTTCCTAACGACTGGATGGGATAAGGCATGGTGCAGAGGCTCATGGGTGCTCATGGGAAGTGGCTTCCATAGAAGGTGGTCATCTTTAACCATCTAGGACAATTAAAAATACTCAGCCCCTGGGCCCAGATAATGGCGCCTTCAGGACAGGGCACAAATTAGAGTCCACCAGTCAGTAAGAACAACACGAGAGCTGCTGTCTTCAAGATCGCCTACCTGAGGAGGGTCACAGAGGCAGTGTCACCAGGCACTCCGTGTTATAGTGCACTAGTCATGCAAATGGGCTTGAGAAAGCCTTGGCATCAGAGACTTGCCCACAGCATGCAACACCCACAACTTCTCAGCTTCTCATGCCACCCAGGGTGGGCTCTGAGGCCACATGGGGACTGTAGACGGTTTTGTTCACTCTAGCCACAGGAGGATGAAAGGGATTTTGCATAGCAGGATTTTCTACATAAATATATTTTGTTTGTAATGAGCCATTCTCAATAAATATTCTCACTGTACAGTGGTAGCTCCCTTTGTCCAGCTGCTATGAAGCTGTGTTAACCTGTGGAGCTCTTGCCTTCCCAGATGGTTGCTGTGACTGCTTGGAGCCAGGTCCTTGGAATGCTTTATCTAATCTCAGCTGGCACTAGAATCTCATTTTCTGCCTTCCAGGTCTCACCCAGACCTTGATGCTGGACAAGGATAGACAGTGCCTATATGTTTCAGAACTCAGACTGGCTCTTGAAGAAGACAGGACATTTGACTGAGGTGAGGGAGTTGGTCATTTATAGGAAGGGAACAAGGGGGCTCAATGGGAGGACCCCAGCCTTTGTTTCCCTTGCTCCAGCCTGCAGCCAGATAACAGGTCCTCTGGGCTCTTATTTGACACAACATTTGACACCTCCACCAGCGGAGATGACTGGTACTATCCCAGTTCCTTACAGCAGTCAAGAAGAAGCCTCTGTCTTCTCTCTTCTCACTTTACCTCCAACAGCGAAAACAAAAAGCAAACAAACAAAAGTAGGCCCAGCACCTTCCTGAATTCAGTGCCTACCTACCTGTCCTACTGGGTCCCTTTGAGCACTGTTCAGACCAGGGCTGTCAAGCAGGCAGAAGGTCATTGCCTGAGGGTCGAACAACCCTAACATTCCCTTTAAAATGCATGCTTTAAGCTTCTGTAGTCAGTAGTTTTGTTGATTGGCACTTCATCAGAGGGAAGCTAGGGGTGCCTCTGAGAGGTCCAGGAGACAGTGACTAACTATTCTCCTCCAAAGCTGACTGCATATTTTTTTTTAAAAAGTTACTGCTGGGTGTTGGTGGTATACACCTTAAAGCCCAGCACTTGGGAGGCAGAGGCTGGTGGATCTCTGGCAGGTTCCAGGACAGTTGGTATTTAACTTGTTGTTATATTTTTTTTTAAAAAAATTATTTTGTTTCTTGTTTTTGAGACTGGGTTTCTCTGTGTAGCCTTAACTGTCGTGGAACTTGCTCTGTAGATCATAACTGGCCTTGAAGTCACAGAGATCCTCCTGCCTCTGTCTCCTGGGATTAAAGGCATGTGCCACCACTGCCTGGTTAACTTTTTTCTTTCTTTTTAATTGTGTATGGGTGGATGTTTTGCCTGTATGTATGTCTGTGCACCAATTGTGTGCTTACTGACTGGAGGCCAGAAGAGTGTTCAAGTTTCCTGCAACTAGAGGTAGAGACTATTGTGAGCTTTCATGTGGATGTTGGGAATCAAACTCTGGTCCTCTGGAAGAGCAGCCAGTGCTCCTAACCACTGAGCCATCTCTCCGGCCCCTCAAATAGTATTTCAAGACTCTAATATTTGGGTCTGTGAACTGGGTAAATCATGGCTGTGATGCAAAAATACATAGATACCCATCCTAAGAATGTTTTCTTTGAACCAACTGGAATAAGGCTGTTGATTTAGTCTGCATGACCTGGATTCTATTTATCATTGTGTTGGACATGACAACATATCCACTGTTGTGATCTGGACATACAGGAAGAGATTTCTAGCAATGCAGAGGCTACCACACCAGGCCAGGCTTGTGTTTGGCCGATTCTTTTGCAAGGCAAGAGTTCACTTTGTACAGGGTATAACCCTAAAAGGCTCTGATGTAATTAGTTATTCTTGGCTCCCACTAAAAGGGTGCTGTTTTGTGGGATAGAGGAATTAAAACATTAAGTAGAATGTCCACCTGAGGCATAGGATATCTCCAGTATGCAGAGTCCATGAAAGGATTGGCCTTCCCTTTTCAGTGATGGTGGAAGGTTAAAAAGGAAACAGTCTAGGGCAGAGTCACAGCCTCTTTGTGGCTGGTCGGTGCTGCCCATCATTGACGACACTTGTCCATGTTATTGTACTCCAGTTTGATCAGCCAACTCTGGGAGTACAATGAAGGCTACTGAGCAGACATGTGATCTAATTTTGGCTTTCTGAGCCATTTGTAGTCTATCAGCGATACACTTCTATCACACAAGTCACCCCACAGTAGCTGACAGTCAAGGTGTCTACACTTCCCGCTATCTGTAAGCACATGGCACTGTTGAATACTAGAATGGCTTCCTCAAAAACCAACTCGTAAATATGTGTTTGACTTTCTCAGCCAAGGATGATTAAATAGAAACATGAGACCCTATGCTGTTGAGAGTCACATTTGGGAGAGAGATAGTGAACCTGGTCTTCCATCCATGCTTAAGGATCCTAGTTTCACAGGCCATTTATACAGAATTTAACAACCTCATTTTTGCTCATATTAACTTGCAAGTGAGACAAAAACACCTACCTCTTCAGTGTTTCTGAATGCTTGAACTTTTTAATATAGTGAATTCCATTTCCTGAACTCTGTCCTGAGGATAGACTCTGAAGGAAACAGAAACAGGACCAGGTTTAGCCTTTAAAATGTTCATGCCTGCTTCTCTGGTTATAGCAATACAAACAAATGAGTAAATGAATGAATAACTTAATTTGGATGCAGGAGACTTAATAACTTAATTCGGATGTAAGAGACAATTCAAATTTAAAATATGCAGATTGTAGAAATAGTTTTAAAACCAACTTTTTATGAAGTAGGAAAATGCTCACATTATATTGTGAAACAATGGAATGACAACATTATAGACATATGGATCCAATTACATTAAAATAGGTGCTAAAAAGGCTGGAGAGATTTATGCCAAAACATTAGTTGTGAGTTATCTCTCAGGGGGTAGAGATGAATTTTTTCTTTTCATTTTTTTCTCACATTCCAAATCCTCTATGAAATGCTTATTTCTGATGAGAGGCTGATTTCTCTTTGATTGCCACAGTCCCCAACCCTCCCCCATCCACAGTCCCCAGCTGTGACTATTTGTTCACTAGATGTTCCCTGGGGCAACTATGCACCAGGCACTAGGAGAGGAAGAATCCAGAGGCACTAGAGCATCAGTTCGGCTCCCATCTTACAGACACCATAGTGCAGGACCCTTGGGTCATCCTGGACCACTGGCTGGCCAGGAAGGTCTTTCCCAGCAGGCAACTGTCCACGTGGGCAGGTGCTAGCATTTGGATGAAGAACAACAGACTCCTTGACCATGGGTACTCTGTTGGAGGAGCATGTGTGTGAAGGAGGGATGTAAAGCCTGGACCACCATTCCCTCTACACTGGGAATAAGGCTACAAGCACTGGTTCACCTTTGGAAGGGAGAAGAAAACACAAAACCTTGTGTTTCCCTGTTTATGTGAGGAAGAAGAATCAGTCCTTCAAAAACCTGTCTCCTCTGTCTCAGGTGACTTCCGGATTAGGACCCTCTGCAAGAGGAAAAGATATACAAAGTGACTTTGACAACCCCCTCCTCAAAAAAATGTGCTAAGTTGGGCATGGTGGACTAATCCCAACTGCTGGGAGGCAGAGGCAAGTGAATCTCTTAATTTGAGGCCAGCCTAGTCTACATAGCAAATTCGAAGCCCAAGGTTACATACTGAGTCCCTGTCTTTAAGTTAAAAAGAAAAAAGGGGTGGGGGAAGGCTTTGGTGAAATATTGTCAAACTGAGATAAATTTCATCTACAAAAATTCAACTTTGACCCAAAGCAGGTTCCAATCATAGTGAAGTGTACCCTAGCTTAATGTGTAAACAAACTGTAATCTAAGAGTAAATACTCAGCTAAACAAGCAAGTGAGTATCTACCAACTGCAGTAGTTCAAGCAAGCTTCAGCCAATTGAGAGTTGACAACTAATCAGACCATGCCTATAAAAGGCAAAAGCCACATCACACTTTGTACATATATGACAAATGCTGGCTGCAGCCAGTTAGGATACTAGGAAAGGACCTTTACCCCACCACACACCCTATCTGGACATGTGTGTGTGTGTGCACATGTGCGTGCGTGCGTGCGTGTAGCATGATTATGATGTAGGGGATTTTCAGGGCTACCTGATACTTGCTATGTAGATCAGGCTGGCCTTGAACTCAGAGATCCACCTGCCTCAGCCTCTTGCATGCTGGATTAAAGGTGGTGCCACCATGCCTAGCCATCTTATTTTTTTTAATATAAAATTTATTTTTATTTTATGTGTATGAGTATCTTGCCTGTATATATGTCTGAACCATGTGCATGTAGGCAAGGCTTGCAAACGTCAAAGAGGGCATTGGATCCCCTGGAACTGGAATTACCAGTGGTCGTTAGCCATTATGTGGGTGCCAGCAACCCAGTCCTGGTCCTCTTCAAGAGCAAAGCCAGTACTCTCAACAGCTGTACCATCTTTCCAACTTATGTCCATCTTAGTTTTTGAGACATCTCTGTCTCTGAACTTTGACCTCATCAATTTGACTAGACTGTCTGGCCAGCAAGCCCCAAGGAGTCATCCAGTCTGCTTCCCTAGTCTAGAGACTTCAGTTGTGGCTCCAAGTCTAGCTCTTACACAGTGCTGGGGGTCTTACTCAAGTCCTCAAGCCCGTGGAGTAAGCTTTGCTGATGACAGGCTTTGCTGATCTTTTTGAAGGACAAACTTGGTTTCATTGATTTCCTTTACTGAGGGTGTGGTGTGTGTGTGCATGTGGTGTCCAGAGGTCAAACATGTGATTCTCCAGGGTGCCTGCCACACTTTATACTTTTTTTTTTTTTTTTTAAGACAAAGAGACAAAGTCTTCCTTTGACCTTGGAGTCACTGAATAGGTTAGGTTAGACTAGGCTAGAAAGACCCAAGTATCTCCCGGTCTCTACCTCCCCATAGGCATAGACAGATCTAACAGACACTGAGGTCCAAGGGCCCCTGTTCCTGCAGCACGGGAGGGTTAAGGATGACAGTACAAACCTGGTCAGGCAGTTTCACTGGACTTTGTCATCTAAGGTGCTACCTAAGGACACTGGGCAACAATGTTGCCTACACCAGGTTTTTTCTTTGGGCCACCAACCAGCTCCCAAATGATGACTCAGAGATTCATTAAGCTCTGAATGTTTGCCCTTAGGCATGTTTCTGGCTAGCTCTTTTAACTTAAATTAACCTGTTTCTCTTTATCTCGCTTCCTCT